TTTCTCTCCAGGAGAAAAAGTGGGAAGGAGAGCGGCGCAAGGGAAAAGAAAACCGTAAAATGTATCACTTGTAACCCTAGAATATGTTAATGCCAAGAGATACAAATCTGGTAATTATGCCTTTCTTGCCTGTTGTGTTCTCCATTGTTCATTAAACATTAAAGACGGGATTATTTAATTTTCCACTTAAAGATTCTCTCACGTTCCGCAAAATCATATTAATTTTCAATCATTTTACTTTTTACAAAGGAAAAAGTTTTGGTGTTATAATGCTGTCAACGAGCTGCCTTCCCCCAACACCCCCCACCCCACCCCACATCGCGCTATCGGAAAGGAACTCTTAAAACGCTCTTCAAGAATCGTCTGCTGCTGGGGGAACTACCAGGCACCGAGCAATAGAAAACGCCAAAGTTTAGGGGAAAAAAATGTTGCCTGAGCAACAGCAACAAATCCTTTCCAAAGATGACTGGATGAAAATTGACACATTTCTGGTACTACTGCAATTGGGGAAAAAACGCCTGGGCGAGGTTAAAGTGCGTCCTCTCTCATTCCAGGCAAGCGCTTCGGTCACGGGGGGTAGCTGAGCCCCTTCACCTAAAGCAAGTCGGAGGAACGTACCTCTCCGCTTTTGAAGGAGCAGCCCTACCTCCGGCCCCCCACGCGCGGCGGCGGTGCCGAGGGTTACTCGGACGCCCGCGGACGCTCGCTTTCACCTGCACTCTTGCCTGCAGTATAACGCAGCATATGCACCCGCGCGCGCGCGTAACGTGTTACTCGTGTGCGCCGGGTGCAATAAATCCCTACTTCTGACGGAAAAAAACATGCTCAATTAATGGGCTCGTCCCCTCCCACTTCATATTAGAAAATTACATCAGATTTCAGCCATCACGATCGTCTCCAGATATTTTAAATGGGACGCTCTCAGCGCGAGCAAACTTTCAGCAAGGATGGATGCACGGAGAGAAGGATGCATTAGAATTTATAGGCAGTAAACAAGTTTTTTAATTATAAACCGGGCAATCATTGCGAGGGGTCTCGTGTACACATCTCTCTAAACGAAGGACGGAAAAGTATACTCGTCTAGTATCTAAAAGGCATTGATTTGGCGTTTCGGTGTGATTTCCCTTAAGGGTCTTGCCCGTTTCTAACGAATACCTGCACCGCAGAAACCGCTGGTGGTATGCATGTCAGCAAACTATCCGGAGTGGCCTAAACTGTCGCCTCGAACTTTATTCGGTTCGCCTACCAACATAAAAGCGGGGAATAAACCGAAAGCCCAGAGACACGGTATCGCAACGCACGAGATAAAGCGAGCTATCAGCAGGGAAAGTTTACACAGAGGAGTCTCCCAAAGCAGCCGGGGTTAGTGTGTTTTAAGGACTAAAGCTGGATTACACGGGCTGGGGTGGGGGTATTAGGAGGAAATCCCTTTCACTGATCCCCGGCCCCATACGCGGAGCTGCCCGCCGCCCTCCCGCCCCCGCGCCGCGCCCGGCAAG